TGTCAATATCATCAGCATACGCCAGCAGCTGTACACTCTTAAAAAAGAATGCTTCTTTCAGAGAGACTACTTAAAAGTTTGGCTGTGGAGCAGCAGTTCATAGTGATTGATGTTTTGCTAATCTCACCAAATACATAACTGCACTTCGACGACAACCGTTTCGGTTTGACATTGCACTAAGTGATCCACTTTTCAGCTCCGTCACTTTCCTATAAGGATTGAGTCCATTAAAGAAGTGAAGCGTTGATCAGATGGAAATGCGGTTCATGATGATGTCATGTTATCCTTCTGGACCAGTTTTCCATTAACATAACGACTGATATAATAACTGGACACTGATTAATGGGGCTTCATGAGGATAGGATGAGCTATTACTCTAACGATTTCTGCCGCGGCTGTAGCGACGAAGAAGAGAAAGAGACCATCGAGCACTTCCTCTGTCGCTGTCTAGCCTCGACATCCGCACGACACAAGCTTCTTCTGAAACACTGTTGGCCTTAGCGAACATTGGAAATCTCGTTATCTCGTTGCCTTTATAAGGCAATGGTTCGATCATTGGAGAAGGTGAAGGCAGGAGCCTCAGCAGCATCACAATGGGCCTATTGGGCTAAGCGTGCTGCGGTTGACCAGCAGCCGCGTCAACTCAACTCATCGGTTATATTTTGTACTATTTGCTCGTTTGTTTCTAGATGTTTGGTCCATTTCCATGTATTCCATGTATATTTTTTCAAAATAATATAATAATATAATAATAAATACGGTGTTTTTCGCAAAACCCACTTAATTATCGAATTTCCAGTAAATATACACGTATGTTGTAATATATATAATTTTGCGAATGGATCGGTCCCTGGTCCACTTCCTGTAGAGATGAATTGTCTTCCCGTTAATCTAAGCAAGAAACCACCCTTTTACAGAACCGATCTGTTGGGTAGATTTGTGTGCATAACTCTAAAAGAAGGCTTCCGATCCTTTGAGCCAACATATGTCAGGAATGCATGATATCACATCCCATCAGCCTGTTTTTGCAGGGAAACCATCCAGCGCGCCATCTAAATGCATACGAAAATTCATTCAAATAGATCTAGCCGCTTAGGATGTGTTCTGTGCCATACACTCACTTACAGTCGATCTTCGCATATTCTAAAATATCTTAATTTTTTATGATATTTTGTACGAGTACCTACCTCTTAAAATATATATTTGGTGAACAAAATTAATTTACCTTCTGTATATATTATTATTATATTTAATGTTTAACAATTAAAATCTTAAAGAGCTTGTATCAACGCTACATCGTAAACAAAAGATCGTTAAATGCTTTACAGATAATCTTAAATCGTAAACAGATAATGTTAAATCGCTTACAGATAATGTTGAATCCTTTACAGATAATGTTAAATCGTTTACAGATAGTGTTAAGTCCATTTCAGGTAATGTTAAATCGTTAACAGATAATGTTAAACCTTAAATAGATCTTGGTAAATCGTAAACTGATAATGTTAATTGGTTAACAGATAATGTTAAATCCGTTACAGACAATGTTGAATCGTTAACAGATAATGTTAAATCATTTACAGACAATGTTAAATCATTAACAGATCATGGTAAATCGTTGGCAGATGATGTTAAAGCGTAAACTGGTCATGTTAAATGCTTTACAGATAATGTTAAATCATTTACAGATAATGTTGAGTACTTTACAGGTAATATTAAATCGCAAACAGATAATGTTAAACCTTAAATAGATTATGGTAAATCGTTACCATGTAATGTTAAGTTCTTTACAGGAAATGTTAAATGGGTAACAGATAATGTTAAGTCCTTTAGAGGTAAAGAGGTAATGTTAAATCGTTAGCAGATAATGTTAATTCCTTTACAAATAATGTTAAATCGTTAACAGATCATGTTAAATCGTACACAGATAATGTTAAACCTTAAATAGGTAATGTTAAATCCGTTGCAAATAATGTTAAATCGTTAACAGATGATGTTAAATCGTATGCATATAAAGTTAACTCGCTTACAGCTAATGTTAATTGCGGTAACAGATAATGTTGAAGTCTACTGTTAATATCATAGCAGGCAACACTTTTAAAATTAACAGTTAACGATAAGTTTGTGCGATTTCAGCACTAACAAATTTCATTTCGTTTTGATCAAATGGCGCTGAAACGAAACCAAATCATTTTGGTAAGTTTATTTTTCAGCTTAACAAAACGAAATGACGTCGTTTCGTTAGTTGAACATCTCTGGCTCATATGGCTATATCTTTAACTGAAATAAAAATGATTGTGTAGGCAATACTATTTTCATTTTATTAACTTTAATTTTATTTTAAATTGTTAATGTTTCTTCACTACAGTTTTGGTGCGATTATATAATAAAATTCTAACAAATATGGAGATAGCAGCAAAGCTAATCTACGAAGTCAATGTATGGAAAGAATCGTAGGAGTACAGCAGCGCGATCCAATTGCGGATGTGAGATTTTAAGAGTATGTATATATGTATATAAGTATATACATATATATACATACTTGTATAAGTATAGCTAAAATACACATTCTTATACCTTTCATGTATGTACATAAATTGTATATTTGTCATTTGCCAGTTTGTTTTTACTATATTTCAGTAGTGTGGCAAGTTTTTTCTCCCAAAACAGTCGATTCAATTTTATTGGAGAAATAAAGTGCAAAATCAAAAATTTTCAAAATTTAATTTATAAAAATTTGCTTCACAATAATTTCTGAGTTGGTTAAATCAAATCTATTATCAAATATTATCATCTTATATTGGTCTTTGTTCGTCGATAGAGGAATTTACTTTTCATTTCCCTACTCTTCCAAAACATCCGCTTCGGCGATAACGTCTGTCTGAACTGTTTCCCCTCGCCAAGACTATCATTTGCCTTATTGTCGTTCAGCAGAAATTATTAATTAAAAATATTACCAAAGACCGGGATCGAATTGAGTCTAGGGAAGTAAACTTAGTGCGACCGCAATAACCAAATGGTTAGATGTGGTACGTCAACTCCGTTTAGGTCAACAGATCACAGGTGGGCTGCTTCCAAATCCTTCTTATTATGGTTGCCGTCGAATCAACCCAAATCAGTGTAAAATGCTGAAGACCTCTTAAGTTCTGCTCACTCCTTAAGACACATAGAAATGGTCCACGTGTTACGTGGCACTATGCTGCCAGCGCTCAACACCCTAAACCTTCACAGCAGTGCCTTCAGCACTCTTTCCCCCTCTGGCTAACCACGACCCGTCCTCTACCATTTCCCACCCTCACCCTCCACCAGCTTCCCCACTAACCAGCGGCCTCCGATGTCCGGAACATTCCGCGCATTGGAACGTAACATGAGTCAATTGCAACTCCTGTTGTGGCTGGTGCCACTTTCGGACGTCCACGAGTGGAGTAATGGGTACTTTACCTCCTGCTGTAAGAGTCTGAACCCGATTTCAGCTGCATCTCCGTCGCCAACAAACATCAACGTTAGGCATCCAATCCAGCATATTTTATAACAGCAACACACTAGACTGCTTCAATTTAATTTCAACGGACGCCAGGAAAAGATCGACGATAAAGTCGGTGTTATGAGCTGGGAACTCTTGCCAGTATCTGTGATCCAGGAGATAAAGTTGAATGCCCGCTTGGATCTTTTGGAGTCTCATCGCTCATCCTACACACCATACAGTATCGTCTCAACGACAGCGACATTGACCTCAAGGATACTACCCTAGACTTTCAGGACATAGCCATACGGTCGGGCGATGTCAAACTCGAAATAATTAATATAATATTGTATTTATGTATAACCACTTCAGTTACTTGATGCCCTGTTGGATTACTCAGACTTCGTCGGACCCTAAGAGGTGCGCGAGCTATTTTAGCCAATTTTTCACACTGCGCCCCTCGATTAACAAATTGACCTGTTGACCTAAACGGGGTTAGATCGTCTGGGTCAACTCCGGTACGTAGAGCCTGAACCTAAGCGGGGAAAATGTAGGCGCTACAACAAAAACTGATAAAATTCGGGATAGGAGTTCAATAATTTTCCCACGGTAAAGCATGTCTGCCGTAGAAGCGACTAAAATCCAGAAGTTCCGGCGACAATCGGGTCTTTAAATCGGAACGACTCGGGTTTTTATCCGGCCAAGGACTCGTATGCGCAAACACCAGAGTGGCGGTTGATTTCTCCAGGGAATATGTTCAGGGGGTCATCGGGAAGACGAAAGTCTCCAAATCCATTTGCCCGACTCAATACGAATGCACCTAGGACCAGATCAGACACTTACTAAATGGCGATCCACCGTCTAGGCACATCAAGAAGGGAGGACTGCTGTGCCCACTTAAAACCAACTTATCTAAATCCCTTTTCCATCTGGTCCACGCCCGTCGAAGCAGCTCGTTTCCTGGACCTCTCGTTTCCTGGACCTCTCGTTCCCTGGACCTCTCGTTTCCTGGACCTCTCGTTTGATGACCTCGATGACTTAAGACTGATCATGCCTGCCCCTAAGCGGGGCTAACGAACCACTGCGATAACAACACAACTCTACATCTATTTATACAACAGTAGAAAATGGAGTTTAAATCTATACAATGATCCCCTCTCACATGTACAATGTGTCCAAAGAAGCTCGCACTTGTATTTTTTTTCTTGTAATGAAATGGTCGTTCAATCTTTTAGAGCTATCTGGATATTGATAATGTTAACATAAAAATATCATTCACAGAAGTAAATGCGACCTTCAATTACATTTTCGCTGGCACAATTCCACAAATAAACTGCAATTCATTAAACATTTTTCAGAGGCATGAACGAGAGTCATTTAATTCAATTACCAATCGCCCCCACAAAATTTATTGATAACTAATTAGATTTCAGTTTTAGCAATTGATCGATACAATTTGGGGAATGGCATTTAGGAACGTGGGAATCAATGAAATCATATATGTATGTAAACGTTTGCTATTGAACGCGAAGCCAATATGTTAGTGTTTCGGTGTTCAAACCCGTTTATTTTAGAAAGACATTGAAGAATTATTTATATATATTAAAATATGTTATTATGTTCATCTCAAACAATTCTTACATTATAATGTATACTTAAAATTGTTATTTTCAAATAACTTTAACACTTTTTGAGCCAAGAACCCTCACCGCATAAAATTCCTATTCTTCTTTAATTGGTCACGATTAACTTGTTTGAAGATACGTTGTTTTGGGTTCTCTTCATTCATTTGCTTATAGTAACCGAATCCACCACCGCCAACACGTTTCTCTGGTCGCTTACGTTTAGCTCCGACTTTCAAGTCGACAACAGGTGGAACCAAGAAGCCAAAACTTTTCGCGACCGCTTGCAAGTCCAAATTGTTAATGTCAAATATCGTTTTCAATTGATGTGAATCATAAGCTCGTACATAAGCTTTAAACGCCTCCTTAGCCGATTGATTGAGGAAATAATTTTTCGAAATGAGTTTTTCAAGCTAAATAACAAAAAATGGTTTATAGTATCTTATAAAATTGAAAAAAAAAACTTATATATTACTTGCAACTGAATATCAGCAATTTTCGACCATGAAAATTCGAACTCGTTAAGTGGCACTTTGGCTGCTTTTAAATAGCGCAGAAAACCTAACTCTTCGGGACGCAGCAACAGCAATGCATGTCCTGAACTGCCGGTACCTCGCGCCGTACGACCAACACGATGAATATATTCCTGAAAAGGTTGCATTAATTATACATATATGTGTTAATATATGTTTATGCACGCAGCGAATGCAGCATGGGGTGGAGTTGACTAGTTCATTTCAAGTAACCTACCTTTGGATCATCTGGCGGATCATACTGTACAATCCAATCTACTTGCGGAATGTCTAAACCACGTGCTGCCACATCTGTACATAGCAAAATACCTTCGGATGCATTACAAAATTGGAAGAAAGTAGTGGTACGTTTTGTTTGCTTTTGTTTCCCCTGAAAACATAGTATATAAAAATATTAATACATATATATATTGAAAATATATATTTTTTATTCCAAATCTTACGTGAATTGAAGTGACAGGCAAATCTATGTAATTAAATAGCTCATGATGATATTTGACAGACATACAGGACGAAAAGAAAACCATTACTTTCTTCTTACGATTCTTTTTTAAGAATGTAAAAAGTACTAATAATCGTTTCTCCGAAGGACAAACTATGTAACCCTGTTCCAATCCACTAACGGTAGCCACTTCCTCATGGTCGTCCACACCAACATAGAATGGCTCTTTTTTTAGTGCCAACTTTGACAGAGCGTCAATTTTCTCTGTTTGAGTTGCAGAGAATAACATTGTTTGACGACGTTCTATACATAAAAAAGGAAAAAAAAAAGGATTAAGGATAAATCATATAAAGCTATTTTACTGCAATTATTACATACTTGGCAATAAATTAACAATCTGTTTTAGTTCTTCTTCGAAACCGATTTCTAATATCCGATCCACTTCGTCCAGAACCAAACATTGTAAATTTTTATAAAGGAAATCTGGCGAGTTTTGCAAATGATCCAACAGACGACCAGGTGTTGCCACTAAAATATTAATGCCTTTACCGAGTTTCTCACTTTCAACTTGACGGTTTGAGCCACCCATTACTAAACCATAAGTGTGGTGATGATGTGACATTAATTCTTTCAATACACCGAATGTTTGCATTGACAACTCTCTTGTTGGTGATATAATAATTACACCAGTACCGTTACGTGGCATAAATCGTAATTTATAAATTAACTCTACAGCTGGTATAAGGAAAGCGAGTGTTTTTCCTGAACCAGTCTTGGCAGCACCAACTAAATCACGTCCTTGGAGTAGTGGTGGCAGTGATTTGGCTTGTATTTCCGTCATATCAGTGAAGCCCATCTCTTCTATAGCTTTTAATGTGGGCTCAGAAACAATATCCTTGAGTGAAGCAAAGGACCGATCATTTGGGTCTAGCCTTTCGAGAGCCTGGTCTGCATTCACATCTGAGCCGGCAGACTGTGCCTCATTACTTGTTGCATTTCTTGCATTTTTATTTGTCTTTGACTTTGTTTGTTTTTCAAAATTTGGTTCAGGTTCTATGTCCTCATCGTCAGAATACTCTGAACCATCAGAATCTAAATATAAGAACATACATATGAGTACATTAAAATATATATCTTAATAAATATTATACTCCATTTGCAAGTAGTCAGTAATAAATTATGATTTTACACATATGCTCCCAAAACTATAACTCGTTTTGAAAAATATCAAATTCGCCTTAAACTCATCATACAATTACGAAAACTCCAGTCATGGGAATCCATATGCTTACCCTGATGAGATTCTCCTTCACTACCCGTGTCTGAATTAACCACTTCAATCTGTCGCTGCTGATTTTTTTTCGAAGGTTTCACTTTCTTTGCGGGGGGTGCTGGCGCTTCGCTAAAATCATCAATTTCATCTAACGAATAGAAATTTTTACAGCTTTTTAGAAAAACCTAATATATGAAAGTTTGAATATCTACACACCTTCTTCAACTTCCTGAGTTTTAACATGTTTGCCTTTTTTCTCCGCCAACACCTTCTTCATTTTCTCACGTTTTTTAATTTTTTTCATAAGTAATTTTTCTCTAATAGACATTTTTCTAGTTTATATTTGCCCGCAAAATAAAATATAGCTAAATGTGCAAGTAAAAACTGCGAAACATCACACGTGTGTTTTGCTATGAAAAGATTGTGGAAATGTCAGATATTGTTGACTAAAATTTCAGTTCGTACTGTACGTACAGTGTTGCTTTTCATCGCACTAAAAATCTTTGGCATAGATTTGTTAAAAATTGCGTACTTTCACAAGGAGTATCAAGTCATATTACAAATTCTCAGAACACAAAAACACTTATTGTTTTAACCACTTTATCGAAATTCAAAGACATTTCGGCTTAATTTTTCTTTTGGAAAATTCTAAAATTGTATAAAATTCAGATAATTCATAATCGAATATGGTTACAATACTCAAATCCTTTTATGTATATATATTTGTCGCTTTATAACCGCTGAAGCGATTTTTCGGACGAGCTCCTACTCCTATTTGTGATTTTGTGTCTTGATGTTTTTCCAACAAAATAGACGGACCTACAGTTTATATTAAGCCGCCTCCGAACGGCTAATGTTTTTTTACGAGGAGCCTCTATTTCATGTCCGAAATACACTCGGAGGGGTGGATATTCCCTGCCGAAGGGCGACCGCCATTAGAAAATTTCAATTTCAAATTCTTTTACAGCCTTATGCGTTCTTTGACAGTAGCCTCAAGTGAATAGTGTAGCACGAGGAATCGGTAATTTAATTTCGGAAATCAAATTGAATTTCAACTGAACGTAGTCACATACTTCAATTTTTATTTCTGTAATTACATGATATTGAATTGCACAGAACTTAGACCTTTACATTTTCCTTTAAAAATTCGAGCCAAAAATTTCAAATTACTACATCACTGTTACTGCATAAATTCCTTCACATCTCCTCGTAATTGAGTGCATTAAATATTGTGAACACAAATATGTCAAAAATTAAAAATTCACATTCAGGAGGCTGTACAATGCTGTTGATCGAAAACAAAACATCCCGTGCACTGCTTCAGAGGTCAAATTTTCTTCCACAAACTAAAAGCATCAGTAACAAAAGTTGAATTTGTAAAATTTTTACACAAATTACATTCTTCTATGAATAATGTATAGTATTTCTCGTTTTTTCGTTTTAACTTTGACTCCTTTATTTATTCTCAAATATTGTAAATACTTAGTAAATATTGGTCTTGTACGAATTTTTCCAATGGTAATAAATTCCGAACATTCATAATAAACTTTGAATGATGTCCAAACTCTTTAATTTTACGCGGATTATTCAAAAGTATTAAAATATGAAAATATGGCGCAGGACCGAAGATTTTTCCCACCTTTCCAATTTCTTTTTGATTAATATCGTAGACAGCTTCATTGTGACAAGGCACCATTTCCACTAGCATTTTGACAATAACGGCATCCTCATAAGCATAACTGAAACTTGCCACAGAGAATTGACTAAAATACGGCTTATTTGACGATTTTCCATTATTACAGCCATTTATATTTTCGTAAGGGCCCTCGGCAGCCTTATCTTGGAAATCCATTTTGTGAAAAATCACGTATCTCTTTTTATTAAACTTCCAAAATTACTTTAGCTGTTAATTCCGTACCACCGGCTTCAAATAAAATATGAAAATTGTTGTATTCGGATCATCGATAATTCTATTGCATGTATCGTTTTCCACCATAAAGCACCACACACATAGGTACGGTAATACCGCGGTGGTATAATCCCGTACTTTGGTAGTGCTTCAAATTGTGGCGAAAATTCCAAATACTAATATGAGAAGGAGAGGCATTCGAAAGATAACAAAGTAAAGCATTTTATGGATGGGGCGCGTGTATCGAATGTTCGTTACTGAGAATATTTAAAAAGAATCTAAGTAAATTATATTCGAGAGATTTGTAACTATATAACAGCTAAGGGCACACTGCTGGCAAGTACAGTTGTGTTTTGACAACATCGGTATATGGTGTATTCCGCTCTGCTGTATTTAAGTGAAATTGTTACTATTTGTAGCAAGTTTCGCTAAATAATCTCGATTTATTTCCAAATCCAGCGAGTTTGTTCACTGCATTGTTAAATATAATTCATCAAGTTTATTGTATATGCTCCTTTATTCTATAGTATTTACTCAACGTTTATTTATTACTCAATAAATAACTATTCTTTTTACTATACACAACGATTAATTTTCAAACTCTCAAACTACTATTTTCACCAACGAGTTCATTTTGTAGCTGCTGTGTTGCCGCTACCTTATATACCTCACCAATTGGTCGTATTCAACTCTTGAAATTTATTACGAAACATTTTTGAAACCGGTGACCGCGATTGCCGGTCCAGAGAGCGTCGGGATATGCATTGAACCAGGTCCCCTTTTCTACCCCGCTGGTTAAAGTTGTGTTTAAAACAATCGATGGGATCAAATGCTAAGCCCTTTTCAATTAAGAAAATATATCAAATACGGAACTCTACGTGAAAAGTTGGCCATGGCCAAACAGAAAATATATTTTTATAACATGAATTGAGATCAAAGCTCCTCATAAAAACCCATCGGCCGTTCGGATGCAGCTTAGAATAACCTGTACAACTGTAGATTTTTGTCATGAATCAACTAACACCGATACAACGAGGTCCATGGGGATGGTGAGTTTTGGTTAAAAATTCTTATGCGCGACAAAGCTCATTTCACATCGGATTGCGCAGTTAATAAGCAAAATTGCCTCTTTTGGGCCGACGAAAGTCCATATCCGTCCGGTCCGTCTTTTTTCCGAGAACGAGGCTAGCAATGACGTTATAATTAATGTGCCGTGCTACAGAGCGATGGTGCGTGACTATGTGTTTCCCGATTTATTTATAGACAAATGTATCCTTGATACTGTAAAACATTAAGTCCAGGTTCCTCCAAAAAATTTTCAAAATATCAAATTCCTTTTCTGTAAATTTCTAACAAAAAAAGACTCTTAAAAGTAATATAGAAATAATCCCGAGGGTTCGCCAGACCAAGAAGTAAGAATAGACGAGGAGAGAGCGGAGCGCTAAGCTGTAAACCCGGCCGAACAAATACTTTAATCGCCTTCTTTTCGAAACCACGTTTTTCCAACTGCGTAACGCGTCAGTAGCTTTACGATTTAGTTTCCATTTCTTTTGAAAAAACTACGCATTTTCTTAGTTTATTTAATATTAGTTTAAAAAGTCAATACTGACAACGAGAAATGAGCCGAGACAGTTTTACGGAAAATATCAAATCGCCGCTGGTTTCTGTGAGACAGCCGTCGGTAACGGCATGGGCAAGCGGTGACAACTTTGTTATTACATGGCGCTCTCATAAGATAGGTTGCTATGGACGGCTGGTACGTGAGTTGGGTAGTTGCAGCATTATTTTATCATAAACCATTAACAACAATGTCCGAGGGCGAGTTTTTTGCGCAAATTCTTATTTTTTAAAACATAATATAACTTTTTTTTATCTGTTTTATATTTTGGTCATTTCACCGAAAAGCAACTTATTTGCAAGAAAATCGTTCCAAAATGTTTAGAAAATTATTGTTGCTTTGTAAATTGCATTGTAATGATGCGGTTGCGCAACGGCGTCATTACAAAGTATTTTGACGTTTTGGAACTTATCCTAACATAACGCACCCCCTCCATGCAATTGCCAAAAAAAAAAAAAAACAAAGGAAGAAATTTCGAAATGTTATTTTTTTATTAGTTTGTGTTGCAAAATCATTCGCATCAACTGATCATCTTTTCTATACATAACGAAATAAAATTAAAAATATGAACAACAATTACATAATATTTATGTAGTTTAGATAGTTAAAGATATAGAGATAAAATACATAAACGTAAAAATTCCGATATACAAATTTCAATAAATTTTTCACTTGCGTTATGTTTTATTTTTCAATGATTTTTAACTTAATTTCTATTTTTGCATATAACATGCAAATGGATGTATGCAAAGTTGCAAACTAAACAATACATTTACTAAAATCAAAACTAACAATAAGCAGACATTTGGGCTAATGTTTGCAAAATGTAAATCAGTTAATCAGTTTTTTTGGTTTGCTTCGTGTGTTTCTGATTCTTAGTTTAAATTTGTACAACAAGAAGAAGAAAGTGTTTGCAACAAGTTTGCATTTTACAAAACAGAAGCCAACAAATAGTTCTTTACTATTGTTTTAAGACAATAAATATGGAAGCAAGGCGAATATGTTACAATAGCTTTTACATAAACACAAATGCAAAAAAAACTGCAGAACAAATACAAAAAAAAAAACATACAAAAAAATACAAATAATAAATATAAAAAAAGATACAAAAGAAACATAAAAAACTACAAAAAAAAAAAACAAAAAAAAAACAAAGAAAAAAAACAAAAAAAAAATACAAAAAAAACACAAAATAAAACAAATTTAAAAATAAATACATAAAAAAAATACAAAAAAATAAATTACAAAAAAAGATACAAAAGAAACATAAAGAAATACAAAATATACAAAAAATGTACAAAAGAAACATAAAAAAATACAAAAAAAAATTACAAAAAAGATACAAAAGAAACATAACAAATACAAAAAAAAAACACACAAAAAAATACATAATTTACAATTGAATATGTGTGAATAATAATAAGCAATTTTCATGAAATCTGCGTTTTCATGTTTGCCAAAAGATTTTATTATGCGGCATAAGTGTGTGTGTGTTGGTTTTTTTTTTAGCAAGTTGTAAATTTATTTTGTAAGTATAAATTTATATTAAACTATATATGAATGCAAACCACTTATGTGCTAATGTAAATAAACGTATAAACGTACAGTTAGAATTAGTTAGTCTAGCAACTTAATAGTATTACAATTAATTAACTAAAACTAAAAATATTTTATGCATGAAGTATATTTAAGGCTATGACGCTTTATTTATTTATTGCAACCATTTGGCCATTTGCAAAAGAAAACTGTTGCACATTGTTGGCCACATCAGTTTAAATATAATAAATATAAATACATTAATATATATTAGTTTGTTCTTTATGAAAAGTGTAGGATAAATCTACATTTACTATAATTTGATGCATTCGAAATAACAAGTAAGGGTATAAAATGCAACTAAATGTTGAAATATTCTTTAATTTACAATAGTTCACATGCCATCAAAAACTGATGTTAGTTGCATAAGGACAATAGCTGATTCTGCGAATCACTTGAGCAATATTTGTGTTTAATTTCCAATTCAATTTCATACAATTTTAGTAAACTTCCTTTCCTTGCCACTTGAACCAGAAGTTATGTATAAGACCAGCTTATTTTGCTAGCTATACTATATAAAAGACATTCATATATATTTTATACAACTATAAATATGGTATTTAAATGTATAAGGCCAGTAGTGCTTTGATTAGATGTCTGCAGAAATTTATTTTCTAGCTACTTTATTTCTCTTTTTTTTGCTTTGCATTCAATTTAAGTCAAATCCAAATATTAAACTTTCTATCCAGCCTGCTGAAATAGATCCCATCTTTGTCAATAGTATACTTTTGTTATACTTTTTGTATTTTTTTTTTTTTTTTTAATTTAAATTCGTCAGTTAATTTTCAAAATTTTATATTTTCTGTATGAGCTTGCATTATATTTCGTGTGATAGCCACATTATACAATATTCATCTAAATACTTAAATTTTAAATTTTTGTAAGGATGATATTAAAATTTTACAATAATTTTTGCATTTAATATAAGGCACAGTGTTCATAAGTATGTATTTTGTTTAGTGGTTCATGAGATATTATAATCACAACATATGCATCGTTTGCATAATTGAGTAATTGCAATCCCTATCTATGTTTTTGGTAAAATAAAACAATATCAATAATTGTATTTAGCAAGGTCAAATGCAAAATCAGTTCTAGCTATTATTTCGAAAAAAAAACGATCAATTTCACTTACAATATTGGCCACTAAGCTAGAATAAATAATCAAATTCTACTTTCTTTACTGATTTTTGCACACGTCACTGCTCTAAATCACTTAAATCGGGAAACTTTCATCTTATATATACTGACTATACATACATTTATAAGCAAACAAATTGAGTGTGTTAAAAAAGATCAAATTTCCACTTGTAATACACTTTTTCCAAGTTTTCCGATTACCCAACTTCTTTAGGGTTTTAAATGAAATCTGCCATAAATAGAAAGATCGCTCATACATTTGTTGGTGGATAGTAACACATTTCTTTAATAGCTCCTGTTGGATGAATTATCTTCTGCTTACGCGAGGAGAGCATTTATTCTTGCATATATTTGGGCACTGACTAATTGCTTACTGTTATTGCATGCATATAGACAAGAATGCAATTCGTAAAGGATCTGCGATGTGATACTATTAAAGTGGTTACTGTTTGCAATGGTCCAGTTCAGATATCTGACTATCTGATATCTTTTGCGTCGCCCCATCACTGACCCTGCTATGACATTGGGTCAAAGACTACAGTTTGCCACGAGCCTAGTGGTCAATTTGAATCAAATAAATATTCTTCCTCACTTGATTAGACATGAGGTCTTAAAGCTGTTTGGAAAATTGGAAAAGTTTAGTGAACAGACACGATTCAACTTAAAAGATATTTGAGAGTTAATGCGATAGCTCCGTCAAACAATTCCAACAAGACATAACATTTATATTAATAACTGGAATGCAATTTTGGTCTCTTTGTACTCAACAAAACTGCCGGCATGCACATTGGCTGACTATATGGGAAGGTAGGCTTGGTAAAGACGGAAATCTTAAAAAAAAATAACGCACACGTTAAAAACATCAATTTTTGTTTTGACCATACAAACAAGGAAGACCTTAATGAAGAGAGTTGTTGTTGCTAACCCCGCCTAGGTACAGGTTTCACTAATCTAAGTCGTTGTGGTTATCCAATGGGAGGTCCAGGAAACGAGCTGTTTCGACGGAATTGGAACAAAGGGAGAGAAAGATGAAGAACCTTGTTAAGATTTATGATATCAAATGAAATGCAAGAGTAGCTCTTGATAGAGACACGTCATCCAGTCAACTAATATCCACAGGGCTGTACAGATTTCCCAGCCTAGAGAGGATTCCATAAGAACACATATCGGAATTTTATATCAGAGGCTTTTGCAAAAGCTTGAATTGTTTATTTTAAGTCCTTGCCCCTGAACATTTAGAAATAGCAGAGAGTTTTGCAGCTCAATAATATGTAGGTTAATATGAAGCTTATGGGGGAAGTTTATTGCAAAAAGTGATCTTTACTAATATTGTAAATGAGGCATCTGAAGCTACACAGATGCCAATCGCATACAGCTCAAGGAGCGGGGATGGGAAGACGCAAAACAAATCAGATTGTGAGATATCTGATGTGGACCATAAGATTATACATTCCAATACAAACAATAAGCACTTTAGCCGTATCATTTCGCAGCTCATTTGGAAGTTGCACTCTTGCATATATAAATGAATGCAAAACAATTCATACAACATACAATAACATACAACAACGCGAAGCAATTATACAGCGCTCAAAGTTATGGACTTTCGCTCCTAGCGTAAATACTTCCTTTTTTCTACATATTTAGCAACGGTGGGTGATACTAGTATATAATATACATACATACATACATACATACATATATATATATATATGTATATATATATTTATGTACATATACATATATATATATAAATATATATATAATATACATATATTGCAATAACAGTTTGCTCTTAATAACATCATCATTTTACATACATTAAACATTTTAGGATATTTTCATTTTGTGACATTGCAATAATTAACTACATAACTAATTAAATATGTATATATTCTACCGTTCATCCTTCAGCTATGTATATTTACTTAAATGACTAAATAAACTGTTCGTTTGCATTATGATTACTCTGTGTATTTGTATTTCCGACATCCTGATAGACTACATGATCATCTGTCATTTCCGGATTAAAACGATCATCGAAAAATCGTCTAAATGTAAATTCGAAAAATCCATGGAACTGTCTATCACTATCACCAAAATCATCCCCACTTAAATTTGAATTATTCGAACGTAATTTATCCGGATCGATTGGATCGAAATTGGACGTGTCTGTGGGAAATTCAATCTTTGGAATATATGGTGCAGTTTGTTGCCGCATATCAGCAAAATCGACGCCCTTGAAGAAAGGATGTGCTTTGACCTCCTCCGTATTTTTGCCAAGACGCTTATCAGCCGATGCACATAAGCGTTTTATCAGATCTTCTGCATCGAGTGTTAATTTCGCCTGCGGCGGTATGTGAAGGGTTTTCTCCCAATTTATTACCTTAAAAAGAGGATTTTTTTTATTTTACTTCCACAAGAATTGTTTCACATATTTATATCAAAACCCACATACTTTTTGCTGTGTTTCTACTGGAGTATTTGCTAAGAATGGTGGTTGACCGACCAACATTTCATACAATATAACTCCTACGCTCCACCAATCACAAAGTTGCGTATAGCCACTACGTTCAAGTACTTCTGGTGCAATATAGTTTGGCGTGCCCACTAGAGAATGTGCCAGCACTCTTTGATGATCGCGAATGCGTCGCCTGTAAGTAATTATATTTAATGGATAATTTTGATATTTGATAGTACAAATGTTAATTACCTTTCTAAAACCGTTGGTCTATGACCATTTTCAGAGTACTCTTCCCATGGCTCCATTGAGTCTTGCCTCGAATGATTCCCTACAATTGATAATTCAGAAATGGTGAGTGGTGTTTCTTATTTATTTTTTATATTTTAATAGAAGTAATTCATGATACTCGACGGGAATCCAAGTATTTCATATACTACATAGACCTGAGCTCAATATTGGCATGATCTATGAAAAATTCACTTTGCCTCAGTTCGCAGGAATCTTGTGTAATCACCGTTGGTAAGGTTAAACCCTGCGGGTTATGCGCTCAAGAATTTACCCGTGGTAAGGCATGCCTGTTGTAAGAGGCGACTAAAATCTAATAGATCCCGCGACAATATATTTGTTGTAATTTAGCATGTATATTAATGTTAATATTTTTATTTCAATTATTACTTAGTTTTTAATTTTATTTTGTCTCGTGTTTGTATCATTGGGGAAGAACAGACTATGTCTTAATTCAGTAATGTTTTCAATCCAAATAAATAAATAATATGAATGTTTCGGAGTGGCCTCCATCAAGTTCTGACCTAAATCCAATCGAATTTGCATAGACACTGACGGAAGGACGGCTAAGAAATCACCAAACAAGAACAATTTGAAGAAATTTGGAACTCCCTTACTTGGGAAGAGTGTGAGAAGCCGGTGTCTTCTATGAAAGACCGATGTAAAGCAGTAATTTATGCAAAAGGTTGAGTTACTAACTACTAAATTTGAATAATTGGGTACAGTACGTATTAATAATTGGTACTATTTGAACGGAGTTTTTCATGTACTTATTTACATATATGAAATTTTGATACACAAAAATATAAAATAAATTTAACTAACTCCCATACTTGAAATACAAGAATGGATGTACGAATTAAAAGTGGTTAGGGCAAATACTCGTATATATAATATAAAGGGTTTTCTAATAAGAGGTATTATTTTGATTAGCCTGCCATTCCGGATGATGTCACTTTTGAAGCTGTAATTTTTTGACATTCGGCAAGTAAAAACTACGCCAATAATAAAACTAGAACGATACACGCTTTAACATCGTATTGATATTATAAAAAATCACTATAAAAATTTCATCGCAAGGTCAACTTGGTTTCCTGGCCTCTTAGAGGTGCATGGTGATTGAATAGTAAAAGACAAATTAGTATACTGTGCAGCGATAGGTTTGAACGCTCAATGGTGAAGTTTTGGAAAATTTTTATTTATTTGTACCTACCATTTTCTTGATAATATTTCGAATTATGTGTCCATCTAAATCCAGTGCATAATCCAAAATCAGTCAATTTTATGTGACCATCCCTATCGATGAGTATATTGTCAGGTTTAATATCCCTAAAATGGTACAAATATATCGATTTATTGCGATAGAATCAGCAAATATTCAATGCAATTAGTTTGCTTACCTATGAATAAAACCCATTTTGTGTACGCTTTCAACAGCGCATGTCAGTTCGGCAATGTAAAATCGCGCCAAATGTTCTTCAAATATTCCTTTCTTAATTAATAGAGACATAAGGTCGCCACCTGTTGTGCAGAAAGAAAAAAGTAAATGTTAATATTTAAATACATACATACAAACATAATTTGTGCATTGTCTTTAGTATGCATTATTTTACAATATTACAATTTAAAAGTCGTCACGTCACTCACCCGGAATATAATCCATCACAAAATATAAATTTTCCTTATCCTGAAAACTATAGTACAATTTAACAACCCAATTATTATCGGCCTCCGCTAAAATATCACGTTCTGCTTTCACATGCGCCACCTGATTACGCTTCAGCACGTCTGCCTTCCTTAGCGTCTTCATGGCATACAGGTGATTCGTTGTATCGATCTTTCGAACCAGCGACACTTCGCCAAACGCACCCAAACCGATGTCTTTAATCTTCTCAAACATACTCTTATTCATTTTGGCGCGCTTCAGCCGTATATAATTACTCTCCTTTTGGCTTAACATTTTTCGCATCTCCACCTGCGCCTGTTGTGGCAAACACATCCTTGACATCTCTTTTTCCAGTTGATTTTTGCGGTATGCTCGTTGCTTGCAGGACTTAATCACGTTTTCAATATGTTGTTCCATATAGAATTTATACGCTTGCGGTGAGTACTGTGTTATGCGACATTCCTTACGTTCCTCCTCCTTTTCCTTGGACACTTTCTTACGTTCAGGTATGGGTGATGCATGCTTGATTTTCTCGCCCCCTTTTCCGACAGCGCCACCATCCGATGCTGCAGGTGACGTACCACCACCACCGCTACCCGAACTGACGGTTCCGCCACTACCACCACCACCACTGTTCTTCGCAGGCGGTATTGGCGGTGTCGTTGTCAGGTTGCTATTCATGATTTGATTATTGTTCATCATGTTGCTGTGCAGCGCCACTTTGCTATTTGGTACATTGTTGTTGCCACTCATGTCCGCGACCGAGTGTGTTGGCGGCACTGCGGCAGCGCGTGTGCTCTGATACGGTGGTGGAGGAGGCAACTGACGTATCGGCATTGGCACCGCGCTTACCTGCTTTTGCTGTTGTTGTTGCGCAGCCAGCGCCACATTCGCAACCGCGCGCAACTGCGCCGCTGTCGGCTGCTGCTGCTGCTGATGATGCTGAGCAGCTTTCGCTTGCATTGTTACCGTGTATGACGGGGGTTCAATGCATATGGGCTTACTGACTACGTTACCGTTTAGTGCGTTAGCTATAAGCGGCGGCGTAGTTGGCGTCGTTGACTTGCCTGTAGCGCTAAGTGTGGTGGGCACTGCACCTGCCAAAAGTGGCGATTGCTGTTGGACCGCTTGCTGTTGTTGCACAGCGGCGGCAGATTTTTGCGGGTACGAAGGTGGCGCGGACATAATGTGTACAGGTGAATTGCAGGCCGATGCTGAGACGGGTGTTTGTGGCGCTACAGCTGTCTGTAAAACCGGCTTTTGTACCTGCGTCGAGCGCACGCTATGCATGATTATGGGTTGTTGAGTACGCGCGTAGGTACGAGGCTGCGGTCGGGCCACAGTGGTTGGTTGCAGTGGCAGTATAGCGCTATTCGTCACTGTAATTGGGCTTGGTGAGCCGGCAGATGTGGCTGAGTATATACCGCTGCTCGGAGATTTACGGTAATCGGATTGTGACTGTGTGGGTGACTGGCGAGACTGCATGGAGGCGGTATAGCTGGGTGGTGGTGCTGATGTGGCTCCCACCCCTGTATTGATAGGATATGGTGGTGGTGGTGGATCAACGGCACTGCCGCTGGCTTGATATAGGCTAAGTGCCTTCATTTGTGACAACTGTTGTTGGGCCTTAATGCCATTCCGCACTATGACGGGTGAGGTACCACGTGTTGTCGGATTCGGTGTGATTGCCGCTGGCCTCGTATTAGCAGGAGATCTGCGTTTGTAATATTGGTTAGGTGGTGGTGGTGGTGGTGTAGCAGAATTCCCAGTGGTTGGATGACGTGGCGGAGGTGCCGGCGGACCCACATCACTAAAACTTGATGGTGACGGCGAATATTGTCCTGTACTTACTCTACCGGCATTTGTGACCTGCTGATGTGAATGTGGGCTGTCCGATCGCGAACTACCCGCACCCGAATCCAACGCTGGACTACATCGGTGTAGATAGTTAATCGGTGTTTCACGTTCAATACTCGGTTTCCGTATCAATTTTGATGGTATGAGTCCAGGTGGTGGAACTTTTGGCACATGTCCATTTAGTTGCGGATTCGGCGATGGTGCAACAGGTAATGGTGACACCGAAGGCAGGGGTTCGATCAGCTTGGCATGCATATAGTCTGGTGGATCAGAACGACCACCGTTGATCGTGTTGTAACGCACCGGTGCGAAATTCTGTAATGAAAAGAAGTCCCTTAATAAAATATAACTAAATCATATTGGATTTTTATTTTTCCGATCAGATAAAATTTTCTACTTTTCGATTTTTATATTTTCGGTCAAATGTAATTATTAACCCTGAGCTTTTTGCTTTTTTTTATCCCAAGTGGGCAGTATGATTATTTCGTTTATTACTTTCCTCTTGACCTGACATGCGCACTACCCGCCAGTGGAGCGAAGCGTACGTTGCCCCAGGCTGTAGGGATCTGTCCCCGCCTATAAATATTTAAAAAACCGACGCCAATCAACCCTGAGGTCCCACGCATCACTCGCTTACACCGTTGTATTCCGACGAACGTTCTTCCAAAGCCGCCTAGACTTTTAACTGCAACTTTGGCATTCTCGCCTTACAAATAATGCTTGAGGAATAAAGCTGGCAGAACACATAGACGACTATTAGCCTATAATTATCTTGATTGACAGGTCTCCCGCCTTGTTTTCTGCGAGCTACCAGAAGTTTGTTAACTTTTAACTAACCGGACTTCACGAAATTTAACGAGAAAGTCTTCAGTTCTCGACCCGTTTCAACCGTCGCCATCATTGGTGAATGTATTATCCGCCGCTGCCCTCACTACATTCCAGAAGGCCGAATTGCGTGAATCCGCGTCAAGTTTGCCATTGAAGCTAGCTGCCCGGCGCGACGTCACTATGTCAAGCCAGTATTGGAGAATCCCGTATTAGGGCACTCAATACGGTGGTTCGGCGTCAAGTCAACTAACATAAGTGAAAGGAGCACTTAAGATCCTGCAGCCTCTCCTCTGTCACTGTCCACTTTCAAATTATTGTCAAAACGGACGGGAGACGATGATCAGGTAAAAATTTCGTTCGGTGATGGAATCACTGCGCGACATCTACAACTACAAGCAGGGAAATTCTCGGTCACTCTTTTGACTAGCTGGACAAAGGAGAGCCGGCTCGAAGTTGATGTGAAAGTCATAACAAATGACCCCAAGACATTTGACAGCCTGACTACAAATCGTTTGCCTGCAGCACTTGGTGTAAAGGACAAGGAAACGTGGATTGTAATTGTACGCTATACCATTTTGGACGCCGTGGACTAACAAGACGCAGATAAGAATGCTACAGCATTATCAGAACACCGACTTTAGGAGTGTGAGAGTTATTCTTATGTCACCAACGCATCACTTACACAGCAAAACAGTTAAGCAACAGACATTTGCTTGAAACCCAACCTCCACCCAGACACATTAGGAAGGTAGAAGGACTTGATTTGATCGACTCCATAGAACAATATAGGCAAGAACTGCTGCGCAGGAACGCATACCGACAGCCTTTAAACACCATTCACCGCGAGACCGTCAACACTTTATTGAACTTTTTTCCTGTGAATGACGTTCTCAGAATACTTGCAATATCTTTTGCAGTTCAAAACCTCGAATTTCCTCGAGTGATACCAAAATCTTGATATTGTAGTAGACTTAAGTCCGTCTTAACCAAACTTGACTCTGACATAGCCATCGTACGTACTGTATGCCATTAGACTGCGCACGTCACTAATCATCTTTTTTCACGATCGCCCCCCTAAAACCAAATTTTCACTCTGGTGTGATCTCGTCGAAATCGTCCGTTAGATGACCTCGATGATTTAGACTAGTTTCGCCTGCTCTTAAGCGGGGTTAACGAAAAGCTACGCAAATAATAGCCACTTTTAACTTACGTGGTCTGGAGAGATCTACAGGACGATTGTTGCCCAAATGTAAGGTCAAAACCTACTGGAGGTACAGAAAAGAAAGCGTGAGCCACATATTGCTAATCTGGTCATTGAATTACTAAAAATATTCTATTTACTATTTCGCTACGTGGAATTTCAATGAGTTAATAGAAGAAGTTTATTTGTGAATATCCCCAAATTAAAAAAAATATATATCACAGCAGAAAGCGAAAAACACGCGGAGGAAGCTTCTCAAGTGTATCAATATTAACGAAATATAAACGACTGCAAAGAATTTTCGGAGAATATAAAGGAATATAAATTCCAGAGTCAGCATTCCAAGCAAGATCATCAATTTGAATCACAATACAAAAGCGGTATATACATACATATACACGTATATACATATGCACATGCATACAAGAAACTGGGGATGAAAACAAAAACTAAACAAAATTTAAAAAGAAGCAAAAGAAAGGAATAAAAATAAATCGCACCGTAACAACGCAAAGAATGAAGACAAACCCACTAACATACATACGCATATTTGATGCAAGTATATGTAGATATACATACGTGTATGTATGTAATAAATAAATATATAAATATGCAAAAGAATCAAGAAATGAAAACGTAAAAAAAAGTAAAAAAAAAACAAGAAGTTATGCCATTCGCGATGGAATTCGAGAAATCGATAAAGACTACAACAACAGAAAACGCGTGTGCAAGATTTTTGTGTCAGATTCAGCAGTGATTATATGTTGTTTACCTTTATGCCTTCCATTCCCTTGCCTCACTCCACGTACACACGTACAACACACAACCCACTCAAATCCAACTCAGCTGAGCACTATCTCAATACAATCAGAATGATCGGACCCCATGCAACGCAACGTACGTACAGTAGCCGAAATAGAATACCAGCAAAGCAATGTGAGATTCCCTGGCGGGTTCACAAAGCACTAGTGTTCGAGCAAAAGTGTCTAATAGCATAAAATAAAAGGCATATGGTGTGTTCTTTTACAACCGACTTGCACCATATTTACTAGTTCTATCTCATTCTCTGAATACTCTGAAAGCGAAAATGAATATCATCAAAAGTGTTCCAAATTAAAAAAAAAAAAACTCTTTGTAAACGTTTTAAAAATCACGACTTAAGGGCACACACTTACAATGCCCGCTCTCTTAATTGGAAAAGTGAAGCTGCCTAACTGAATGATGTCCTCGGCTAACATCACCGCCGTCCAAATGCGATAGACGGGACAAGGTCGGAAGAAGATGGGTCCTAATAAAATATACAACAGAGGCTATTTTGTGGTAGGAGGAGACTCCATCATCGATTGCTGGCATTCACTGCGACTGATGAATGTCTCGCCCGCTGATTTGCGCCCAAGTCCTGACAGAAGAGAAGGACGACGTGAGCGCGTGAGCTTGGAGAAATACCACCACCCATAGCAGACTGAGCTGCCTCGAGAGACCCGCGTGACCTGACACAACTCAGGTCTGGATATTGTAGCAGGTTAAACTCCTACTTATCCAGACTAGACCCCAGCATACCTAACGTATGCCCGGCATGTGGAGAGTCCCCGTACGACACTAATCACCTCTTCACATGCCCTCTCAAACCCACTCATCTAACCCCCCCTCTCCCTTTGGTCCAACCCCGTCGAAACAGCTCGTTGGACCTAGCACTAGATGACCTCGGCGACTTAGACCGAACAAACCTGTGCCTAAGCGGGGTTAGCGAACCGCTACAACAACAACGACGACGTGAGCGCCACTTCCAACACAATGTAAAAAATTGTGCTTGATGTGTTCAATGCTAGGTTAAACAAGAATGTTATTTTCGGCACAACTGTCGCAAAATTCAGCCGACGAAACATCCCAAAATGGTTTGAAACTGATCGATGTCGGCGGAGCCCGAAATATGTTTGTCCTTAGTACTAGATTCCAGACCAAGAATATTCAACGAGCTACCTGCATATCTCCCGATCGGAAAACTGATAGACGGATGACATGTCAATCCAGATGTGCGTAAGTTCCGAGAACCTAGCACCGACTCGCATCACTATCTGTCTATCGGGAAATATCTCTCGCAAAAAAAAACCATATTCACTCGTGTTGTGTGGTATGTGGCACTAACTTTATGAAGCCACATATTGTCCCATCACTGCACCGGACCAAAGAGCGCACCAGGTAGTACATCGAATTTTTTTGGGTGTAATGACCTCTCTTCAATTATTTGAGTATGCTAGAAGCTCCGAATTCGACAATTTCGTTTACTTACGTATACTCCGAGTGAGAGATGTACCTCGTAACGGAGGAAAAATCGGCAATCCACTACTTGTTGTTCAAGCACCTATTCGTCTTATACATATACGGCGTTGTGAATGGTCAGTTGGCTTCAGTTGTTGTTTGAGCTAGACTATATTTGGTTGTAAGTGTAAGTTCAATTCTAAATACGCCACAATGTAAGGCGTAAGAAAGTCCCAGCTTTTGAGAACGTCGAATAATAAACACATTCCTGTCCTCGGCTACACTTTCACTTACAATAGAGATATTTGAGGTAAAACGAGTAAAACGATGATGCGCCGGTCTAACTATATCTTTGACCGATCCTGTTTCTTCAAATTTCTTTAAAATTCTACCAATTTCTTGAGCAGTTGGACGATTATGTGCCTCGTAATCTTCTCTGAAAGGACGAAACATGACCACCAAGATTCGAGTCCTGGTTCGAACAAAATCCAAACTTATAGAAAAACTGATTTGCGGTGAGACCCAGGCAGGCCTCCGAACAAGACAAGTCCTCTGAGTGTGTTTCTGACATGAAATAAAAGCTCCACTTAAAAATCCATCAGCCGTTCGGAGGTGGCTTAGCACAATATAAACTGTAGGTTCCTCCAGTTATTGGAAAAACGTCTAGAGGCACATCACAACTTTGACGAGGAGCTTTAACCTCAGCTTTTATCATTGTCAATGACAACATTGATGTGATCATGAGAGGCATAAAGACACCTTATTTTAACCTTTTAGACTACTGAAACAAATATCAAGATTTTTCATTGAGTAGATAATCGTTAATGAGAAAACAAAACGATTCTACGAGAATTTTTACGATTTTCTCATCGCACAATTCTTGATTAAAACCAAAATCAAATCGAAAAACCTGATCTCCTGAACTTAGCTTTCTTCATATTTCTTTTAAAAAAAATAATATTTTTTTTTTTGCTATAAAATTTTGCAATTTTTTATCAATCCTGAGGATAGATTCAGATACTTCATA